TGTTTGTTCCGGCTAATCTCTGAAATGGCTGGACCGATTTTGACGGTACTTTTTTTTGGCAGGTAGCTGATTTATAAGGAGTAACTTAGATTACTTTTATTTTAGAAAAATAAAGTTAAATTCCACGCGGACGAAGTCGCGGGAACACCTTGTTTTTAATAAAAACATCTTTTTTGTGGTACTTGAGAATGTTGAAGCCTGTTGTTTGTAATATTGAAATAACCATTTTTTACTACTTGCATATGAATATAAATACGGTACATACACCAAAATAACATATTTTACAATTTTTGTCTGTCTGTCTGTTTGTTCCGGCTAATCTCTGAAATGGCTGGACCGATTTTGACGGGACTTTTTTTGGCAGGTAGCTGATGTAATAAGGAGTAACTTAGGCTACTTTTATTTTAGAAAAATAAAGTTAAAAACCACGTGGACGAAGTCGCGGGAACAGCTAGTGTATAATATATTAGAGATACCTACGTGTTTTTTTATTGATGACTAGCTGTACACGGGATTTCGTCCGTGTTGAATTTAACTTTATTTTTCTAAAATATAAGAAGTTAAATTCCACGCGGACGAAGTCGCGTGTACAGCTAGTTGTCGGTAGTCTAGCGATTTAGCTAGCACACTGCTTTGATTCCTGCTTGGTGGTCGAGGGTTCGATTCCTCGCACGCTGCAAACATTTGTATTCATGAGTATGATTGTTTGTAACGGTCTGGGTGTTTTCTATGTATAGATAATATATATGTATTTACGAAAAAAATCTTTGTATTTATATCAGTACCCATAACATAATCTTCAGCTAGCTTAACTTTGGTCTAGATGAAGCTGTGTGAATTGTCCTGAGATTACTATTATTACTATAATAAATCTTTTCAAATCAGCCGATGTTTATTTTTGCCATAATACGTGCTGTTACCATGTGATAATATTACGTACGTACTTATTAAACTATTAACTTATTATTAAATTATTAACTATTTATACTGTTTTAAATGTGATGCGTTCATTATTTATATTTCCTTTGAATTAAAGACAAATGTATATATATATATATAGGATTTGAAACTTGGCGGTATGAACGAATGGGAACGAATGAGTATGAATGAATGGAAACAGAGGAGCAAATGGATAGAAACGAAAGAGTGAATGGATGGAGAAAGGAATGAATGGAAAAGAGGATGGGCATCGCTCTCTTCCTCGTAGACTGCCATATAGTTAGGTCGTTTCATGTATCATAGTAAATGTTTTTTTTTGTAATTTAAATAAAAGGAGTTCTATAAAATAATCATCCTGTTATTCGCGAATCCTCATTCCCACAATTTTGGGGGCTCGTCCGGGATAGAGGATCAAAGATTACTTGGATGTTAACGGATTTTTATGGAAGACGGAAGTACCCGAATTGCGGCGCGGTACAGACGGTGACGCGGAAGAATACGAATGTCGAGGTGGACACTTGTGTATTTAAAGATTATATTAAATTACAAAAAGAATGTCTAAAGACGAAAATAAGATGGAACGTGCATTTCGCGAGGCGGCGTGGCATCCAGTTGAAACTTTACCGGTATTCAACGGGACCGATAAGACTATAACGGCGGCGAGGTGGGCGCAGGAGATAGAAGAGAACGCGGAAATATTTGGTTGGAGTGCTACACAGCAATTAATTTTGGCGAGGAGATCGTTAGCCGGAAACGCATTACTATGGTTAAAGTCGGAGAAACCATTCAAAACTTATGACGACTTAAAATGTGCTATTATGAAGGAGTTTCCTGATAGCATAAATTTGAAAGAGCTGCACGAAATCTTATCCAACAGGAAAAAAGGAAAAAACGAAAGTTGTTATGAATATATGCTGATAATGAAGGAGTTGGGCAAGCGCGGCAAGTTACCTGATTATTGTGTTATTCAGTACATAACAGACGGTATTATAGATGATGAGATAAACAAGGTCATGTTGTACGGGGTCACTACCTATGCCTCGTTAAAAGAAAAATTAGTGATATACGAATCCATGAAGAAAAAGATGTACGTAACTACAAGGGAAAGAAAACCCATAGTAACGAAAGAACATTACAGAGACAGCAGAAAATGCTACAAATGTGGTGAAAATGGTCATATATGCGACAACATGTTCGAAAGGAGTTAAGTGTTACAAATGTCATTCATACGGCCATATTTCGTCGAACTGCAGAGCTGCATTTGTCGAAAGAAATTCAAATACGATTGGGAATGACAATAAGTGCATCTCAATCACTTCACCTACGACGGGAGCGGAAGACCGACCGGAACGACGATCAATGTGTGTGAACGGTGTGAACATAGACGCGAACATAGAAAATGGCGACGTGCGTAGTGGCAGCAATGTTGACAGTATGACAGATGTCATTCGCTCGGGAACTGTCAATTTGAAACCGTCATGAATACGAAGCGAAATAGTTCAATCAAAACATTGGAGATAAATGGCGTAATAATCGAATGTTTAATTGATTCGGGGAGTGACGTAAATCTGGTGTCGGCAGATGTATTTTTCGAACTAAATGTGAGTGCCTATAATAAAGAAAAGATAGTGTTGCACGGACTGGGATTGTCGACTGTTTACTCTATAGGAAAATTTCAAACAGTACTAAAAATTGATGATTGTTATTTTGAATTATTGTTTTATATTGTACCAACAAACAATGCCTTACAAAGTGATCCTAGGTCAACCATTTTTGGAAAATGCGGTAGTTATTTTCGATAAAGGTGTGGTAAATGTAGTTTCGAGGAATGTGCATTGTTTGTTTACAGATGACAAACCGGTTAGTTATGTACCAAATCCTCAGATTATGGAGACAGCTCAGCTTATAGTGGATCAATATAAGCCCTTACAAACCAAGGAGGCACCATTTGAAATGCAGATTATCCTGAACGACGATGTGCCGGTGGCACAGCGGCCGCGTAGACTAGCCTATAAGGAACAAGAAGCAGTTGATAAACAAATTGGTGAGTGGTTACAAAATGGTATTATTAAACCTAGCTTTTCAGAGTATGCAAGCCCATTAGTATTAGTTAGAAAAAAGATGGTAGTATAAGAGTCTGTGTTGATTACCGTAAAATAAATAAAAAAATTGTTAGGGATGAGTTTCTCTACCAATCATTGAAGATCATTTAGATAAACTTTCTGGATACACGGTTTTTAGTAAATTGGATCTCAAAGACGCTTTTTTTCATCTCAAAATAAATAGTAACTGTACAAAGTATACATCTTTTGTGACACAGAATGGTCAATATGAGTTTATGAGAGCACCTTTTGGTTTGTCCATATGTCCGAATTATTTCACACGTTTTATCACTATTATTTTCAGAGAGCTTATAGCAAAGGGGTTTCTATTAATTTTTATTGACGACTTAATAATATTATCAAACACATATGATGAAGCCATAGATCGACTTCGTGAAGTTTTAAAATTAGCTTCTGAATATGGATTACATATAAATTGGAGAAAAAGTGACTTATTGACTAAAAAGGTGGAATATCTTGGTTATGAAATTGAAAATGGAGAAATAAAACCGTGTAGAGACAAAGTTGAAGCAGTTTTAAAGTATCCGCAACCTAAGTCGGTAAAACAGATTCAAAGTTTCATTGGATTGACATCCTATTTTAGAAAATTTATTGAAGGGTATGCTTCTATAGCACGACCATTAACAGACTTATTAAAGAAGAATAATGATTTTATTTTCAGTGAAAAACAGGAGATTGCATTCAAATTGTTAAAGAAGTTGTTGTCTGAAAATCCAGTATTAAAATTATATAACCCAGGACTCGATACCGAATTGCATACAGATGCATCTATCATGGCTTATTCAGCAATATTATTTCAAAAGGATTCTAATGATGGGAGTTTACACCCTGTGTACTACCTAAGTATAAACCTCAGATGCAGAGCAGAAATACACAAGTTATGAGCTGGAGGCATTAGCCATAATAGAGGGTGTTAAAAAATTCAGGAAATATTTACTTGGCATAAAATTTAAGATTGTTACTGATTGCTTAGCATTTGAAATGACATTAAAAAAGAAGGATTTATCAACTAGAGTTGCAAGATGGGTATTGTTATTACAAGAGTATGATTATGAGGTGGAGCATAGAAAAGGGAATCAGATGCGGCATGTTGATGCTCTTAGCCGCAATCCTTATATTACTGTTGTTACCAGAGGGTTACATGATATAATCAGGAGAGCACAGGAACTAGATGAGGGTATAAAGGCGATTTCAGATATAATTAAGGAGAGGCCTTACAAAGATTATTATGAACAGAATGGAATCATATACAAGGGTGATCAAGGACAAATACTTATTCCCAAGGGATTAGAAATGGAAATTATTAAAACAATTCACTCGAATGGTCATTTTGGCAAGAAAAAGATGTTAGAAATGTTAAATGTAGATTATTATATAAAAGATTTATCTTCAAAAATAGATAACTTCCTTGTAACCTGCGTACCATGTTTGTTGGCAACGAAGAAAGAAGGAAAACAAGAAGGTTTTCTTAATTCCATAGAGAAGGGCATTATCCCACTTAGTACATTGCATATTGATCACATAGGACCACTCTCAGAGACTTCAAAATTGTATAATTATATTTTAACAATTGTAGACGCATTTACAAAGTTTGTTTGGCTCTTTCCAGTGAAGACAACTACTACTAAGGAGACATTAAGTAAGTTACTTATTCATCAGCAGACTTTTGGAAACCCAGATCGAATTATATCAGATAGAGGAACGGCTTTTACTAGCAAGGAGTTTGATGACTATTGTAAAGATGAGAATATCCAACATATTGTTATCACCACTGGAGTACCCAGAGGAAATGGGCAGGTAGAAAGGATTCATCGTACTTTGGTGTCAGTCTTAACGAAACTGTGCATAGAGGATAAAAGTCAGTGGTATAAGCATGTGAGTAGAGTTCAATGGGCTCTAAATAGTACTTATCAAAGAAGTATAGGAACCAGTCCTTATGAGTTAATGGTGGGTGTAAAAATGAAACAAAAAGAGGATTTAAATATTTTTAGTTTATTACTAGAAGAAAGTAGAGACGAATTTGTGACAAATAGAGAAGAAACGAGAGAACAGGCTAAGATACAAATTTTAAAAGTACAAGATGAAAATCGGCGAAATTATAACAAAAAACGCAAGGAAAGCCTTAAACATAATATTGGTGACTATGTAGTAATCAAGAGAACCCAATTTGGTACTAATATGAAATTAAAGCAAAGGTATTTAGGACCTTATAAAGTTGTTAAAGTCAATGGCAGAGACCGCTATGATGTACTGAAGGTCGATATTGCTTCTGAGGGACCTATGAGGACGTCCACTTCAGCAGACTATATGAAGAGGTGGCCAGAGGTTAGTTCTTGAAACTCATTTACTTACCAAATTATTGTAATTTTCCAATTAAGTTGATGGCTGACCTTGTGAGGCATTAGTATTAGCTTATGGTGAAGATAAAGGATTATTTGATTGTACCTATTTTAGTACTTAGTTTATATTGTATTTGATTATAGGAGTATAGGTACTGTACCAGTTGTATTTTTTTCTTTGTGTATTATTATTATTTTTTGTACTGTGTAATATGTTAAAGTTGTGTAACTATGTTATAAGAAGGGTCATGTTTTAATTTAAGGTGTTTAGTTGTATTTTCATTCTATATTTTGCTTTAGTGTGTAGTAGGTGTGTATGAAAAGAGTGTGTTAGAAGAATTGTAGAGTGAAAGACGGACCCTGAGGTCAGGCTCCAATGCAGGATGGCCGAGTTGTAGGATTTGAAACTTGGCGGTATGAACGAATGGGAACGAATGAGTATGAATGAATGGAAACAGAGGAGCAAATGGATAGAAACGAAAGAGTGAATGGATGGAGAAAGGAATGAATGGAAAAAGAGGATGGGCATCACTCTCTTCCTCGTAGACTGCCATATAGTTAGGTCGTTTCATGTATCATAGTAAATGTTTTTTTTTGTAATTTAAATAAAAGGAGTTCTATAAAATAATCATCCTGTTATTCGCGAATCCTCATTCCCACATATATATATTTATATACACTTGCACACTTAGTTGATCCAGCCACGATCCGTAGATATTGCTGATCCACTGTCTCTCTCTTTCTATCACTATCTTTGTATTCTAATATGCGATGTTGCCGTTCCGGCCGAGACCATGCGTTGTTGCCAAATGTATTCGTCGATAGTAGTAGATACTTATACTCGATATATATTTTTTCAACAATTTCCTGCAATAGTGAATCCGTATCGGCATTTTTTTTAAATGCACAAAGATTTTTTGGCTCTGAATATATTTAAAAATCATTTACTTGTGTGTTGATGAATTTATATACTAGTACATGAAGTACCTAATACTTGTTTTGATTTGAATAGGTAGCGATATTATGAATTTATTATACGTAATCTAAAGATTTTGACGAAATAAAAGTAATTAGTTATCTGTTAACCTTGACTTCATGCTGGCACCAGTATTATCAGATGATGAACACACTCTTCGAAAACTTACAGCAGAAATATCGTGTTTGGACTCATTAGATAGGTCTCGATGAATAGAGTTTAAAAAACTTAAAATAAATGGTACATTAGAAATAATGTATAAAAACCCCTTACGTAAAATTCAACCACTTTAAACTTAATAATAATAATAATTAGGAAAAGAGAAAAGCTATACATGCACTGAAAGTAATTGATGCCTTCCACACAATATTTTCAGTATTAAACAACTCTGTTTGTTCAGTAAAAGTGTAAATACACTGGTAACCTTTAATCATATTTTATATGCAAACATTACATATACAAACACTAAAGTTTTATTTCAGAATAGCCAGTAGTTTTCAAGAAATAAGTCTTTGAAATTGTACGTGTAACTTATATATATACCTACTAGTTTTTTCACCATAACAAACAACACCAATATGGCCTAGTTAGTAGTTTACCTGTGTACCAATTAATAATAATAGTAATCTCAGGACAATTCATACAGCTTCATCTAGACCCAAGTTAAGCTAGCTGAAGATTATGTTATGGGTACTGATATAAATACAAAGATTTTTTCGTAAATACATATATATTATATATACATAGAAAACACCCAGACCGTTACAAACAATTTAATAATAAGTTAATAGTTTAATAAGTACGTACGTAATATTATCACATGGTAACAGCACGTATTATGGCAAAAATAAACATCGGCTGATTTGAAAAGATTTATTATAGTAATAATAGTAATCTCAGGACAATTCACACAGCTTCATCTAGACCAAAGTTAAGCTAGCTGAAGATTATGTTATGGGTACTGATATAAATACAAAGATTTTTTTTCGTAAATACATATATATTATCTATACATAGAAAACACCCAGACCGTTACAAACAATCATACTCATGAATACAAATGTTTGCAGCGTGCGAGGAATCGAACCCTCGACCACCAAGCAGGAATCAAAGCAGTGTGCTAGCTAAATCGCTAGACTACCGACAACTAGCTGTACACCCGACTTCGTCCGCGTGGAATTTAACTTCTTATATTTTAGAAAAATAAAGTTAAATTCAACACGGACGAAATCCCGTGTACAGCTAGTCATCAATAAAAAAACACGTAGGTATCTCTAATATATTATACACTAGCTGTTCCCGCGACTTCGTCCACGTGGTTTTTAACTTTATTTTTCTAAAATAAAAGTAGCCTAAGTTACTCCTTATTACATCAGCTACCTGCCAAAAAAAGTCCCGTCAAAATCGGTCCAGCCATTTCAGAGATTAGCCGGAACAAACAGACAGACAGACAAAAATTGTAAAATATGTTATTTTGGTGTATGTACCGTATTTATATTCATATGCAAGTAGTAAAAAACGGTTATTTCAATATTACAAACAACAGGCTTCAACATTCTCAAGTACCACAAAAAAGATGTTTTTTTATCAAATAAACAGTTTTTATTAAAAAAAGCTGTCCCCGCGACTTCGACCGCGTGGAATTAACTTTATTTTTCTAAAATAAAAGTAGCCTAAGTTACTCCTTATAAATCAGCTACCTGCCAAAAAAAGTACCGTCAAAATCGGTCCAGCCATTTCAGAGATTAGCCGGAACAAACAGACCGACAGACAGACAGACAAAAATTATAAAAATTGTTATTTTGGTATATGTACCTTATATATATTCATATGCATGTAGTAAAAAACGGTTTTTTCTATATTACAAACAGACACTCCAATTTTTATTAAATGTATAGATGTATAGATTATTATTTATTTATTTATTTATTCATCCAAAATAATACAAATTGTGTAGGATAACGTAATAGTAACATTACAGTAAAATTTTGTCAACAACATAATAGCAACTTAAACATTAAATCTCGGTATATCTATAGACTAGCTGGCCCCAGCGACTTCGTCCGCGTGAAATTTTATTTTATTTTTCTAAAATAACAGTAGCGTAAGTTACTCCTTATTACATCAGCTACTTGCCAAAAAAAGTCCCGTCAAAATCGGTCCAGCTATTTCAGAGATTAGCCGGAACAAACAGACAGACAGACAGACAAAACTTGTAAAATATGTTATTTTGGTGTATGTACCGTATTTATATTCATATGCAAGTAGTAAAAAACGGTTATTTCAATATTACAAACAGACACTCCAATTTTATTTACATGTATAGATGTATAGATTAAAAAAAAAGTAACAGTCATAAGGCTAGTCGTATGCCTAATATATATAATAATGTAATAAATTCATTTAAACAGAAATTGCGGGAACATTATTTAAATTTGTAACTTTTTTACTGTCCTCCTTTTTTCACATCTTTCTGTTATATCCATATAGTTCTCTCTATATTTTCTGATTTTCTTACTTTCAATTTGAGACTGTACTTATAATTTGATTATCGGATCATTATGTATTTACTTATATATAATATTTATACATTTATGGGTTATACTTAGATATATATTTATGTATGTATATTGTTATTTTTTTATAGAAATGTATATTTTGCTTATATTTATTATCTTTATAAATCTTTTTTTGACATTTCTTATTTATATTAGTGCACCGCCAATAATCTTTCGCTGCACCACTCATGGTTGCCTGGTAAATAACGCGGCAAAATATTAAGTCCGCCACATGTACAAATTTTTTTGTGCATTAAAGTTAAAGAAATAAAAAAATACAATACTGTTTAATGAAAATGCGTGTTGTCTAGTGCTTTGAGATGTATCAATATAAGGTCAACAAAAAAGTCCGTGATGGTATATGTCTATCTCTTAAGGATAACCAACAATAACCATTTTTTATCTTTTACATTTTACGGGATTTTTTTTTATCGTATGTTTCCCTTAAAATCATGTAAACTATGTTATTATGTCATAATCTAAAGAAATAATAATATTTTATAGTGACATATCCACTATAAAATACCAAAAAGTAGCAATGTAATTCGTTACGCGCGAATCAGGTGTTATAAGGTCAAAGGTCGGTGCACCCCGCATATTTGATAAATAGTGCTTCTCTGGATGTCTTTAAGAGAAAATGGCAGTATGTACGTGTATATGTACAAGTCCTTAAGTGTTAAGTTTTTCAAATGTACATACAGTAAAGAATAAATATTTTTAAGTACAGTACTTACGTACATTAATATAATACCTACTTTTTACTTGTATCTATTGTTATCAAAATTAAATTATAAGTTCTTAACTTGACCACGACTATGTGACCCTCTCTTGGCGCCAAAACGAGTGAAAAAATGAACAGCATACGACGACGACGCAGTACCTATAGAGTGGAGCAACTGCTTATTCAGTTTTATTCAACTATTTAGTCCCTCCACCGTTACAATGAATGGAGGCGGATATTACAATGTACGTAGCATTGCGAATATAAAATATCTAGATTAGGTATAATAAATTCATAATTCATAGGCCGTTACGGTATCAGAGCCAAAGTCTTCTTTCTTTGTTTATGTACTGTTAGATGCGACAGCGACTTTGTTTTTATATTACTATGTAATGATTGATATACCTAAAATAAATAAAATATCTGAGGTTTGGACAAAAATTCAAAAGGTACTTAATTTTCAAAAAGTATTTTGAAAATACCTATTTTGCATTTAGTATTTGAAACAAACACAAAACTATTTTTGTTTTTAGAGTGACATTTCTATGAATTCACTGTCGATAGCGAGCGGTGCGATGGAAAAAGATAACCGTTTATAAAAATATAATAAATAACCCTGGACAATTAACACAGACTGATACTGAACTGATATAAATAGATATTTTTATTTTGTAAATACATATATAATATACATATAAAACACCCAGACCGATGAAAACAATCGATGACCGATGAGTACAAATGTTTGCATCGTGCGAGAAATCGAACCCGCGACCATCGGATGTAAAGCGGTGTGACCACCGAGGCAGTCGAAATATATAAATAATCTTATGAATTTAATTTATTCTAATTTGTTTATGTGCGCGGGGTGCGGTGTACGGTGCTCCCCCTGCCTCCACCGTTGCTGGAGCTTGCATGTATGGAGCATTGCGAATATAAAATATCTAGATTAGTAAATTCATAATTGATAGACCGTTACGGTATCTATATATATTCGGATTAAAATAAGTATCGCAGTAAGGACCAGTATATAAAGTGATCAACACAATTAACTGATTTTTGAAATATA